GGTCGGCTGAGAACACATGTCAGCAAAAGAGGGGTTGGCGAACGGTTGAGAGAGGGCGTTATAACCGTTTGGACGACGGTTCCAAGTACCGTTTCTAAAGAATATTTAAGGATTGGGATTTGCAACTAACAAGGCATTTTCAATCATCTTCAAACGACAGCAAAGTCAGTTATTCGGGGATCATCATTTAAATTTTCAGTCTTTTATTTTCCAGTTTATTTTCTGTACCGTACAGTGTTTAGAGATTCCTAATCTCAGGCGCTAAATATATCAAATTCGAAGATAATTTCCTATTTCGGATTTTACTTTTTTATTGTTGAAAAAATACATCAACAATTATATTTTTTAAATACAAAATTCCATGTAACTCGTCCTCAAATATATGTACATATATATATATCGGTTCGGGTATGGTGCTGAATTATAAATTTAGATTCCCTCGTGATTTATAAATTGTGCGTCTTATTCATCGGCCGTTTTTATTTAACGGTGTTTGACCTACACTACGCGCTCAAATTGTAAATGAATTTAAGAGTTTCTTTTACTATTCTTTGAGATTGAATAAAGAATAATGATTATATTTGTAATTTTAAAGATTTAGAATGAATATTTTGGAATCCATTTTCAGTTTGGGAGCATGCAAATTAAGGACGATTAAAGAGTTTTGATGCAGAGTTTATAAAATCACGATGGAGTCTAACACAGTTTTGAAAATATGAAGAATTTGACGCAATTTGGTGAGACTACAGGTGAGTTACGTCCAATTTTAGTAAACTATTAGTATCGAATTTATCATATAACAATTTGTTATAAGTATGTAAAAATGATACTGATATAATAAATGGAAAAATGGCAAAAAACCCTATGTGATTTTTTGAATTTGCTGAAAATTTCTTGTAGTTTTAAAATTTCAAAAAACCTACTTGTGGTTTCCAAAATGTTGCACACTCTCCTCCATCTCTAAATTTGACTAACGGACGTTAAATTTTATCATATTTGACCGTTATATTATTACTTATATATATTTTAATTTATTTATCTTTCTTCTCTTCTTCCTTCTTCTCCTTCCCTAAATTCTTCTTCACACGAAAGTTTTTTCCAAATTTTTTTCTACTTCTTCCCTAATTCTTTTTCACGCCCCCGCAACCCCACCCGATTCTTTCTTTTCTTCTTTTTCTCTAGATTTTTTTCCTCTCTTCTTCATCTCCAATTCTTCTTTATTGTATATGGATTTTTTTTCAAATTGATATAGTTTTTAATATATATTTTAATAGTTTGTTTTTTTTATTTTGTAAATCATGTTCAAATTTTGAATCTTTTAATTTGAAATAATGTTTAAAAAATTCATTAAAAAAATTATGATAAATTTTAGCATATAAATTTTTTTTTTTTATTGTAATAATTTTATTCTTATTGCATATGCATTTTTTTATATCTATTTTGTTATTCTTATCATTTATAAATTAACTTTTTTTTGTGTGTATGTTATTTTAAAATTTATTTGATTTGAGTAATAATATATATATATATAAGTATTATTTATAAAAAGAATATTAAATCAGTATATAATTTAATATAAAAATATAATTCGTGCATAGCATGGTTTACATCATAATTAATAATATGCATGTAAATATAAATAACAATCATTTATATTCAAGTAGAACTTTATATAACAATTCCTTCTAGTCTATTTCAAATGGGTCATTTGAAATTTTGTAGTGGATTAATAAATAATACTCCCTCTGTTTATTTTCTAATGTCCCAAGTGATATTTATACGCTTTTTTAGGTAATTAGTTTTTTGGTTATAAATTGATAAAATAGCCCTTTATTTTGTGTATAGATATAAAAAAGATAAATAAAGTAAGGGTAAAAAGGTAAATTCTATGTATAAAAATAGAAAGAGGACAATAATTTTTGGACGTTACAAATAGGAAAATAGGACATTAATTTGTGGACGGATGGAGTAATATTTTATTGGCGGCGGCTACAATGTTGAATGTTGAACAACACATGGTGTGTTGTTTGACAACGCATGATATTACTACAACAACACACTGTATATATTAATATAATACAAATACATCGCATGAACAAAGAACGCATCTTATAGTCTCAACAACACATTGTAAGTTTTCTGACAACATACAGTATTATTACAGACAACACATTGTATATATTAAAATAATACAAGTACAACACATGAACTAAAACCACATGTTATAGTCTCATACAACACACGCAACAATTGATTTTAGCACATGACATACTCTTATACAACACACTTGTTATTATAAAAAAAACAGCACATACTTTTATTATACACAACATGTGTTGTATGTAATAATAACGTGTAATGTTTATACATATAATGTATGTTAAGTTATTCATGCTGATTTTTTCGGATCAACACCCTAACCATTCTTTATATTATTAGTTAGTGAAAATGTGTAAGAAGCTTTGAAATTTGTGTCAATTGAGTTTATGTATAAAGTAGGTGTATGTGTAATAATATATTTGTCATTTAAGTAAAAATTAAGGGTATTTTAATATTACTGTAGTATTACTTTTTTTTTTAAAATAGAAAAGAGATATTTTGAAGTAAAAAAGAACAAAAATAGTAAAAAGAAGATATTTTTAAATGGAACTGAATGAGTATTATTAATATCAAATCAATACTTGTAAAAATTGAATATATGAAAAATTACTCAATTAAGTTTGTTTGATTGTAGTTAGTAATTGATTTAAATTAAATGTTGATTTAATTTTTTATTTAAATAATATTTTGTGAGTAAAAAATAATAGAAATACATACCATTAAATTCGCTACGCAGATAACATAATTAATAATAGTAGCATCAGATTAGGACGCTGTAAGTTATTACAATTAATTAAGATGGCTTACTTTTTCTATTCTTCTTTATTTTTCAAATGAAATAATATTGAATATAATATTTTTTTTAATAAAAATAAAAAACTTAGTTTGAGGTTTTGAGGTATGAATAATTTATTGATAGTATAAGAAAATACTAATATTTTGTTGGGAATGTTTTTCTAGAAAATAGAATATACTTCATCCGTTATATTATAAATTTTCTTATTGAGATTTTTCTATAATAATATCTTAATTGTTAGTGAAAGTGTGTATGAAGTTTTGATATTTTTTACTTTTTGACTTTATATATAAAGTAATTGTACGTGTAATGATATGTTTGTAATTCACATAAAAGTTAATGTATTTTAATACTAGTGTACAATATTTATACTAAAAATATAAAGAAATAATTTTGAGTGAGACAGACGAGAATAATAAAATTTTACATTGAGTTGAAACAAAGAGAGTATATTATATTTCATCAGGTCCAACTCAATATAATATTTTTATAATTTTTGTTTGTCCCACTCAAAATTACTCCCAGCTAAATTGTTCTATTTAGTTTATGCACTGAGATTTAAATAATGTGTAATTAGTAAATAATTAATAAGTGTATTAGTAAAAAATAATTATTATTTAATAAAAATAATTATAGATTAAGATAACTAAATAGTTTAATTAAAATAAAAAATTATAAATTATGAATTATGAATTTTAAAATATGATTAAAGTGTATAATTATATTTCTAAAAAATGAAAAGACAAATTATGTGGGACAGATAGAAATAGAAAGATAGAACAATTAAATGAAGAGGGAGTATCACTTTTCTATTAAGGTAAAAATAATGTATACTCTCTCCGTCCCAAATCAAAGGAGTCATTTGAGATTTTGTAATAAATTAAAAAATAATAATATTTTATTAATTAGTGGAATTGTGTAAGAATTTTGGATATTTTTGCCCTTTTGCTTTATGTTTGTATGTGTAATGTTATATTTATAATTTAAGTAAAAGTTAAGAGTATTTTGATAATAGTGTATAATTACTTTTTCTAAAATATGAAAGAAATACTTTGAAGTGGGACAGACGAAAATTGTAAAATGATATTTTGAATTGAGACGGAGAAAGTATATAAGAGGACGGTTGTGATGATTTTTCAAATCAGTACATATAAAATATATAAACAACATATACCTTTATTACACATTATATGTGTTATTTATAATACAAACATGTGTTGTTTGTTTATAATTACAATATGTTGCATTTACTGTATAAGATTATATTATGTGATGTTAATTCCTGTGTTGTATTTATATTCTATTAATATAAATGTGTTTCTAATAATAATACGGTGTATTTATATTAGCACTGTAACAACCGTGGATATATAACAACCAAAAATACATGTAAGTTCAATAAAAACATTCATATCATTTGTACTTTAAAAAAAAAAAAGTTATATTAAAATTATCTTAAACGATTTCATTTTAACAAATAATATACTATAAAAAAATAATGAAATATAAATCGTATCAAATAATAATAATAATAATAATAATAATAAAATGTTTAGATAAACAAATTTTGATAGCCTCTTTTTTGTTTTAATATATTACATCTAATAACTATTTTATATATTTATTTTTTGTTATTTATAACAGTTGAATATGGTATTTATAATAATAAAAAATGTACTTCTACATAAATACTTGTGAGTAAAAAAGTCAAGGAAAAAGATGAAAATTAAATACAAATTCAATCAAGTACTACATTTCTTAACAAGAAATAAATTCAAATCATGTCACCTTAAGCGTTGAACGTATTTTAAATTTACCGCGTTTACATGTGTGTTCAGTTTTTGTTTTTGTTTTTTTTTTTTTTTTGACTTTGAATAATTATTTCATTGATATTAATTTAATATCATAATAAAATTAATTTTTAATAATATAAAGTAAAACTTTACATTGAATAGTTTGAAACAAAAATATTAAGTAATAAACAATTAAAGATGAAGAAAAACCCAACTGCTATATATATATATATAATATTTGTGCGCGCGTGAATATATATATATATATATTCGTATGTTGTTCGAACGGCCTGTCCATCGATCTTGTTGGATGCACTTGCCAGCTTTCTCCGATCGATCCAACACAACACGTGCCGTACGCGCGTGGTAACCACCCATGCCCTCTGACTTTGACTTTGACGCCGTCGTGGTCGGCTCTGGCTACGGCGGCTCCGTCGCCGCTTGCCGGATGTCGGCGGCGGGTCTGAACGTCTGTTTGTTAGAGAAAGGGCGGAGATGGGAGCCTCAAGATTTCCCTACTCATCCCCTCCACATCGCCTCTTCTGTCCGACTCCAAAACGCCTATTTCGGACTCAATTTTGGCCCCAAAAATGCCCTCTTCCAGGTTCCCTCTCTAATTCTAATCTTTATTTTCCGACAATGTCGTCTCACAAATATGATCTTCTTGCAGATACATCTTCAGACCGACGCCGCCGCCGTCACCGCCTGCGGCTTAGGCGGCGGCTCGCTGGTGAATGCCGGAGTGATTCTGCCGGCGTCGGCACGGGCGCGGCGGGACCGCCGCTGGCCGAAGGCTTGGGAGAAAGATTGGGACAGGTACGAGGCTTCCGCTTCCGACATGCTCAGAGCACAAACTGTTCCGATCAAGTTCCAGAATTCCAAGGTCATGGAAAGAGCCGTTGCCGCCGGAGAATATTCCGACAACGATCCGATCAAACTCACCATGAATTTCGACATCGAAGATCGAGTCTCGAATTCCTGTCTAGCCTGCGGGAACTGTCTCGCCGGCTGTCCCTACAACGCCAAGAATTCTACCGACAAAACTTACTTAGCCTCTGCAATCCAAGTATGCATCTTATCTTCTCTCTACTTGTGATATGATATTCCGATATTCCGACATCTTTTTTATTCTGATTCTTTCATTACAGGCCGGATGTTTTGTAAGAACAGAATGTGAAGTTCAGTATGTAGTAAGAAACGATTTCGATGCCGGAAAAGAAGAAAGAAGAAGAAGCCGCCGCCGCCGGTGGCTCGTGTTCTTGAATGAATTGGACTATATCGCGGCAGATGTGGTTATACTTTCGGGTCCGGCTATAGTTCCAATGATCGATCTTACTCTGTTTAAGAAGGAAGTATACTTGTTGCAATATAACTAACTCGCGAATGTATGTCTTCTGCAGCCGGCGTTTTCGGAACAGCTGAAATTCTATTCCGGTCCCAGTTGAGAGGATTGCGAGTCTCGCCGAAGCTCGGATCGGGATTGAGTTGCAACGGCAATTACGTCACCTATCTTGCCGGAACTTCTGCGCCGATAAGTTCCTTTGGACTAAATCGAAAGCAGCTTTCGAGCGTGCCTTTCAAAGAAAGGCCGGGGCCATCGATTTCCTCATCCTTCTCTTCCTCGTCGTCACAAGGCTTTACAATTCAGAGTGCCGTGATTCCGGCTGCCTATCCGAGCTTCCTTTTCAAAGGAATGGCGACATACGGATCGCAATCCGGTTACGGGTTCTTCTACAGCGTCGTAGAATGGCTAAAGCGTGTCATAAATGCAAACCGTCGCGGGGAAATGGCGCTGAATGCAATAGGACACGACGATAGCAGCGGGGAGCTCACGTTCGATAAAGAGTCGGGTCGGATTCTCTTCCATCCTCCTCACGATACTCTGCTTCCACGAAAAATCGAAGCTTTCGAAAAGCTTGCGAAGAAATTAGGAGGAGTGCTCTTCAAGCCGCGATATCGGAGCACTTCGGTGCATCTTCTCGGAGGGTGCATTGCGTCATCGGATGTCTCGACCGGAGTGTGCAACCCTGACGGTCAAGTTTACGACTACACAACAGGAGTGCACCAGGGGCTCTACATTTGTGACGCCTCGTTGATTCCTTGTTCTATTGGAATCAATCCCTCCCTTACTATTGCCGCAATCGCCGAGCATGTTAGTCGATGCATTCTCCGCGATTCTACCAAACTCACCGACGAAAAATCTGTTCGGAAACCAGGTGCGATAAGCAAATTCAAGACGGAGACGAGCAACGATTCAGCGGTCGAGACTACCGAAGTAATGAGCGGACAAGTCGGCGACATGCGATGCGCAGCTCGTCTGAAGTTGAGGTTCGGAGATTCGAAATCCTTTTCGCGCGGCGAAGCCGGAGGATACGTCGAATGCAGGGCCATTGAAGCAGAGAAGATGTACATCATCCATGGTGAAGTTGATATATGCAAAGTAGACATCAGAACTCCTTACACACAGTACATGTATTATCATCTCCTTGTCGCTTCTGCTTCCGGTTCGAGGTTCGATTCGATCGACACATTCCCTTTCGATTTACTGAATTCGCAGTCGAGCAATCGGTTAAACTCGCCGTTGCCTATTGCAGATACATTATCGAAGGAAGGAAGACGATGAATCCGTATCTATTCGCATTATACGCGTGGAGAGAGTCGACTACGGTGGACATAACTTTGAGGAAAGTGCTCGATGACGAGACGAAAAAAGACTCCATGGTTCTCAAGGGGAAGCTCTACATTTCTCCATTGGATCTTCTTAGAAATACGCTTGCTCTGCGAGGTCGACATAGGATCAAGTTTGTGCTTCAGCTATTGCATTCGCTCTTTCAGACGTATGTCCTACAATCGCCTCGCGGGAGCCATGTCGCCGATTTCTCCCCTAAGGAGTTGCGCCGCGAACCTTATCCGAGCAGTATAGCTCATGAGATTAGGACAGGTGATTGATCGTGCCGTTAACACTGCCCAGCCTGAATCAACTCATCGAGCGTTTCTTTTATTTTTCTCTTTGCAGCGGACAACTTTATGATTCAGTGTCGCTGCTGGGAATCGAACGATAATGTTCGTGGATTTAAGCGCACAAAAAAGCTCTACCCGGTGCTCCTTGTCAATGGCTATGCAACAGAGAGCTACTGTCTCCCGACGGAGCGCAATGATCTTGTAAGAACTTTACTAAAAGACGGGCGCGATGTATGGTTATTACAGGCGAGAGTGCACAGGTCGAATCCTTCTAACAACTTCTCGGTCGAGGATATAGGTCGAATGGACATCCCGGCAGGTAAACGCTCCCGCATATGTAATATATATCATCTGTTGCTCGTTTTTAACTAGGTAAGCTGTCCTGTTTTGCAGCGATCGATAAGATTGTCGAGTTCTACGGCGAGTCCATAAAAGTACATGTAGTAGCACATTGTGTCGGAGGGCTAGCCGTGCATATCGCCCTCATGGGAGGCCACGTATCTGCGCAGCGTATCGCGTCCCTATCTTGTTCGAACTCGTCGATGTTTTTCAAGCTGACGACATCTTCCTCTGTGAAAATGTGGCTTCCGTTGGTCCCCGTAAGTTTCCTCGTACATGTCCGAAATCTGTATTCGACGACATCACATAATAATAATACTGATCGCTGTAGGTTTCGATGGCGATAATGGGGGAAGACAAGATTCTGCCACTGCTCGAAACATCGTCGACAATTAGTTTCAGACACAAGGCGTTGAAAGTGATAGCGCGGCTGATCCCACGCTACGAGAGATGCACATGCGACGAGTGTGAGGTGTTCTCGGGGATATTCGGGAATGCGTTCTGGCACGAGAATATAAGCCAGACGATGCATCGATGGATGAACAAGGAGTACTTAACGAGGCTGCCGATGGCGGCGTTCCCGCACCTTCGCAAGATCTGCAACGCCGGATTCATCGTCGACAGCGAGGGGGGTGACGCGTACCTTATCCACCCGGAGCGAATGGCGCTGGCAACGCTGTACATATCCGGGGGGAGGAGCCTCCTGGTGACGCCCGAGACGTCATTTCTGGGACATAAGTACATGAAGGTGCACCAGCCGCGGTACCGTCACGAGCGGGCGGTGATCGAGGGGTTCGGACACTCGGATCTTCTGATAGGCGAGAGGTCGGATGAGGAGGTGTATCCGTACATTCAGAGACACATTGAGCTGTCTGAAGAGGAAGAAATTTGTGGGAAGAGGGAGGAGGAGGAGGAAGAAGAAGGCAAGTTATTGAAGGAAAGCATGGAATGGTGTGTTGATCCTCATGATCAACGACATTTTGAGGATTCGATTGTCTTCCCTTTCCTTGTGTTTGTGTTATTGTTTCTCTTCATTTTGAAATTCTTAGTTAATTAATTAGTAGCACATCATAAAGAAAGAAAGAAAGATATATATTGGTATATATAGCTCCGGCTTCTCTGTTAGCCGGTGCTGATTTGAACGAGCGTTAGTATGTATTTAGACAATACATACATACATACTTAGAAAACACAGCACATGGTCAAACAAATTAAGCAAAAAGTTAAACCCATTTATATCCGTTTAGAACGGCGTCGTTTCTGCTTCGGATGCAATGGAGAAATAGAAAAATTCTACAAAATAATGACAGCTGTGGGATTTGAACCCACGCCCTTTCGGACCAGAGCCTAAATCTGGCGCCTTAGACCACTCGGCCAAACTGTCTCAATGTTCATTCATTTCAAAGTGACTTAATTATCAAATATTATACCTATCAATTTAAATCTGATACTTACCATATTTTCTCAAATTTCTATTATTCTACCAATTTTTTTTTTCAAAAATTATTAAATCAAATAATTATTTATTATTTTTTATATTATGTTAAAAAATAATTTTACATTCAAAATATCATATCAGTACCTATTTATATAGTATTATACAATTACTCAAATTCAATTTTATTAGTCAAATCCCAAACTAAAATTCAAAATTCCAAACATACACACCCTACATTAATAGCTATATTTTACTTAAATTATTATATGAAAAACATGTTTATAACACAAAATTCACAATCAACATATATTTTTATCACATAATGACTGTATTGTATTTAATTATTTTATATTTTTAAGAGTGTGTTGGCAATGCATACATATAATTTTCATAAAAAAGGACTGAAACGTGTTTTTCGAATTAACAATAATGATATTTATAATTTCAAAATTAATTAGTAGTCATAGATATTAACTGCATTATTCCATATACATGACTTAATTACAGTGTATAAACTATGAAAAAAATAGTTAAATATATGAAAAAAATAGTTAAATAAAGAGCAAAAATTATTTTTGATCTCATTCAATATCATAATTATCAATTTTGGTCTTATTAAAAAAATTATCAATTTTGGTCTCACTCAAATGAAAATTTATCAATTTTAGTCCCAAAATGGTTGACTGGACTGAACATGGCCGTGTTGGACTACTCAGAAGGTGACTAGGCATCCCAGGCAACTAACACGGCCGTGTTGGACGACTCAGAAGTTGACTGGGCATCCCAGGCAGCTAACACGGCCGTGTTGATTACCCTGCACTTCTAAACACGGTCGTGTTCCTGCCCGTGTTCTGAACACAGCCATGTTCCTGCCCGTGTTCTCAACATAGTCATGTTCTAGGCCATGTTCACGACCATGTTTTCAATGTAATCATATTGTAGGTCATATATATTATTATTTTCACTTTTTGGTTAAAATTATTTAATATATATATTTATAATTCAACAAAAATATTTTTTACAATTATTTTATAATATAAAAAATAATCAATTTTAATATTTTAAAAATATATAAAAATAATAATATATTAATATATATTTTTAATAATACTCCCTCCGTCCCACTTACCATGTTCACATTGGCGTTTATGTCCGTTCCACATCCATGTCACTTTTCTTTTTTGAAAAATAATTACACACTATTTTTTTATTTATTTTTTTTAATTTTAATTAAACTAATGAGTTGTCTTAATCTTAATTTATAATTATTTATATTATATGATAATTATTTTCACTAATACATTCTTAATTATCTATTGATTATACTTATCCTAAATTCTCATGTCTACAGTTACCAGAGGGAGTATTATTTTAAAATATTATTTTGAATAATAAATTTAATTTATAATTTATAGAAATAATTAATTTAAAATAATATTTTTTAAAAATTTTACTATAAATTTTTAAAAATATATATAATGATGATTATTGAAAATATATATTAATATATTATTATTTTTATATTTTTTTAAAATATTAAATTGATTATTTTTTATATTATGACATAATTGTAAAAAATATTTTTGTTGAATTATAAATATATATATATCAAATAATTTTAACCAAAAAGTGAAAATAGTAATATATATGACCTACAATATGATTATGTTGAAAATATGGTCGTGAACATGTCTATATTGAGAACATGAGCAAGAACATGACCTAGAACATGGCTGTGTCAGGAACATGGTCGTGTTCAGAACACGGGCAGGAATACGACTGTGTTCAGAAGTGCAGGGTAATCAACATGGCCGTGTTGAGACCAACACGGCGGTGTTGGCTGCCTGGGACGCCCAGTCACCTTCTGAGTCATCCAACACGGCCTTGTTCAAGACAACACGACCGTGTTCAGTCCCAGTCAACCATATTGGAACTAAAATTGATAAATTTTTTATTTGAATGAGACTAAAATTGATAATTTTTTTTTTTTTTGAATGAGACCAAAATTGATAATTATGATATTGAATAGAACTAAAAATAATTTTTACTCTTAAATAAAGAATCAACAGGCACAACCAAGGCGAAACTATTATTGGGCAAGGAGGGCTCTAGCCCTCTTTGCCCGGACTTCATCCCTTTATTTCATTTTAAATTTTTATATTTTTTTTATTAGTTTTAAATATATAGTATGTTGTTATGATTTATTTATTCATTTATTATGTATCATTTTATTAATGTGAGCTGTATATATTTTTATGTGATAATGCTAAGCGGCTAAAATGTGATGAGTAATCACATTGCTTAGGCCTATTTAAAGGCATTGGCAAATTAAATTAAAAAAAAAAAAAAAATTACTATACTCTCTCTCTAAGCTCAATCTCAGGATCTCTCTCTTTCTCTCTCTGAAATAAACAAACCTTTATATATTTTTTTATACACCTATAAATATATATATATATATATTGCATATACTTTATATATATTGTTATATATTTATAACATATGTATATTTATATAGAAAAATATCTAAATTAAATAAAAATAATGCTAAAAATAATTATGTATGTCCATGACTAATATTATAATCTTATGGAATTGTTAAAAAAATATTAGAAAATAATATAATTCAATAAAAAAGTTAATAGAATAAACAAAATAGTTTTTTTTTTAATATATAAATTTTCATACTTTATACAGTAAAAATCTTTAAAATTAAGAGTGTTAAATAAACATACTTTTAGTTGCGATAATAAGATAATTTTAATAATTTTTTAAAATAATTTTTTTCTTAAAAAAGTACTATTTATTATTTTCAAACAATACAACAATAACTATATAAAAAATATGTTTTTTTTTTAATTTCTTTATTTATCATTTTCTTTAAATATATCAACTTAAGAATATAACATTAAAATATATATTTTTAATCTTATTATTATAAAATTTTTGAAAATTAGCTCCTTTCCTGTATAAGATTCTGGTTCCGCCTCTCCTTACAAAAGTTAGTAATTTTTATTTTTTTATTTTTATTTTACATTCAAGTCATTTTAACAAATAAATAGTTTAATTACACTCTAAATTTTGTGATTTGATATTTTGATTATGAGTTAATTCTAGAGTTTTAATACTTCAATTCTTTCAAACAATTTTGCTTTTTCACCAATTACTATGTCTATCGTTGGATTATGTTGCTGCTGCCGGAGTCAGGATACCAATGGCAACGGCCATCCGCCACTATCAGAGTGAGAGTCAGAGTCAGAGTCAGAGTCTCATACAAGAGGGCACTCACACCACACTACCATCGGACATCCGGACAGGATGTCCATCTACAGCCTAGGTAAGATTTTTTTTTAGTTTTATTTTATTATTTATTTTTTAAAAGTAAGAATTTATTTTTATTATCTTTAATAACTAGAAATTTAAGATTTTAATCTTATATCTCATTTCAAATTTAGTGATATGGCCTAAAAATTGTTTATCTAAGAGTGAAAAAAGAAAAAAAAAAAAAAAACAAGAAAAAGAATATATAATATCATAGAAGGGGACTATTGATAAACTTTTAAATAGAAATATGAGTTCTACAAAATTTGATTAATCAAATAGGGAATAGTGTTGAACATTCAAAATATATTGAAAACTTGAATAATATGTACATAATCTAATTAATGATGATAATTATAATACTTCAAATGAAATAAAATTGAATGTAATATCTCCGGAGTTAAATAGTAATTTGAGTCGGAGAGGATGTGATACCCCTAAGGTTGAATAAAGGTTAAATGGATTGAATAGACTACTAATGTTAACAATATGCATATTCCTTTTTGTAAACCCTATTGAAAGAACTCAGGAGTTAAACGTGTTTGTCTAGAGTAATTTGAGGATGGGTAACCTCTGAAAAGTCTCCCAAAGTGCGTGTGAGTGAGGATATAAACGCGCTGAAATGACTCGTGTTGACCTGTGGACTAGTCTACGATCTCGATACGCGTGGCTTTGCGTGGCTTTCAGGTTGGGGTGCTACAGTTAGTATCAGAGCCGACATGCGATAACCCATAGTCGTTTACCAGACTGTTGAGGGGCCTAGCAATTATGGATCATTGGGGTACAACGTGGACGTTGCATTCTTAAGTCGGGAAGGATGTAATACCTGCGGAGTTGAATAGTGATATAATTCGGGAGGATGTGATACATTCGAGGTTTAATAGAGGTTAAATGGATTGAATAGATTATTCATGTTAACAATGTGCACATTTTTAGAGTAATTTGAGGATATATGGCCCCTATTAAAAAAAAATTAATAAAAGAAATGCCTATTAGAAAACTAAATCTAACTTTTCTATTAGATAAAACTTCTAGACATTTTTTTTTATATTTTTAGTATTCTAGAAAATTAAACAACGGAGAAATTACGGATAGAAAATGGTTAGTTTATTCAAAATATAAAGATAAATTATATTATTTTCGTTATAAATTATTCAAGAAAAATAATTCTAAGAGTTTGTTAGCTAACAATGGATTTAACAATTGGAAATATCTAACGGAAAGACTTAAATAACATAAGAATAACATTAAACAAATAACACATATGAATACTTGGAATGAATTAAATTCGAGATCAAATAAAAATAAAATAATTGATAAAAACATTCAACTAGAAATTATAAAATAAAAAGAACATTTAAGTCAAATTTTAATAAGAATAATATCGGTTTAAAATGTCTTTCTAGCCATAATTTAGTTTTTGGACGATCGAGTGGAAACTCTATCAAGATTGTTGGCCCAAAATT